TGCTGCTGGTGGTGCTGGCTCTGGGGGTGGTGCGACTGGTTCTTTGGAGAGTGGTCCTAGGGCTACCACCGCCCCGGACACTACTCCTCCCCCCCCCACCCCTACCCGACCCGCACCAGGCCCGTCTTTGCCGTACACATGAGGAGCAACTGGAGTTGGAGCGAGGGAGCTGGAGTTGGAGCGGCAGCTGCCGCGGGAGCAGCAGCAAGCGCAGCAGCAGCCGCGATAGGAGCAGCAGCAGCCGCAGCAGGAGCAGCAGCAAACCGCCACCTCCGCCTTCTGTCTCTGGCCTTCGAACCTCCCTCGTCTCCCCTCTCCCTCCTCCCTCCTCCTCCCTCTCTCGTCTCGTCCTCGGTCCACGTCCCATGTTTCATCCTCCTAACTCCACCCCCAAATGTTTTCCCCCATTCCCAGCCTCCGTTGTCCCCTCCTCTTTCTCACACTTGGGATTCTTGCTCTCCTCGTGCTCGTCTTTCGTCCCCTGTCCTTGTCACGTACCATCGTACTGTGCTGTTCCATCCTAGTCTGCCCTCGTTCGTCTTCGTCTGTGCTTTTTTCTCCTCCTGATTCGGCCCTCACTGGTTCCCTCTCTACTCCTGTCACTGGCTACTACCACACGTACCGCCCTGTTTCTCTCGTGTTCTCTCGCCTCTCTTGTTACGGACCCTCGTACCTCTTTGTCCTTTGTCTCCGCCCTTACTGCGACTGTCATTGAGCTCACTGCTACTCGCGGCCTTGACTACGCCACTTGTCTCGTGGCTCCTCCTCCTACCAGTCCTCTGGCCGTCGGGGGTGAGTCTGCCCTTGGCTGTGACGCCCTAGAGGACAGGCAGTTTGAGGTGGAGTTTCTGGCAATCGCTTCCCGTCATCTCTGCGCCGTGCTGCTCGCTTCTGAAGGAGACCCTGACACCCTTAAACATACCGACTCTCCTCGCACTTACGCTGAGGCAGTGTCGGGCCTTGGGCCTCTCAATGGAGAGCTGCCATGGACTCATAGATGGCCTCCTACAGATCCACAGGCACCTGCGTCGGCTAGGTTCCCCCCCTTGGGCAAACGTAGTCGATGGCATATGGATCTTCAAGGTGAAGTGGCCACAGGGATCTCCTCCATTCTTCAAGGCGCGTTATGTGGCTAGATGTTTTCATCAGCGCGAGGGAGTTGACTTCTTTCAGACCTTCGCGCCTACCCCGAAGATGACCACTCTTCGGGTGTTACTGCACGTAGCAGCACAAAGAGGCTACGAGTTACACTCTCTCGACTTCTCCACTGCCTTCTTTCAGGGTAGCCTATACGAGGAGGTCTAGTTACGTCGTCCCTCTGCCTTCACATGCACTTTCCCTCCTAGGACCCAGTGGAGGCTAAGGCGACCGGTCCCAACGGTCTCCGTCAGGCTCCTCGTGAGTGGCACGACACCCTTCGCTCTACCCTGTCTAACCTCAGTTTCCAGCCGTCTTCTGCAGACCCGTCGCTGTTCGTTCGTCATGGCTCTATACCGTTCTTTGTACTAGTCTACGCCAACTACCTGGTTTTCGCCACTGCTGACAGGGTTGCTTTGGCTGACGTGAAGTCCGTATTGCAGAAGAGACACATGTGCGCTGACCTTGGTGAGCTGCGCCACCAATCTGCTAGGGGACAGTGGAGCTAGATCTGCTCGTGCAGGCTACCCTGGAGGAAGGCATTGGATAAGTCCAGTGATTGAAGTGAGTGGAGCTCGTAGTCGTGCTGTGCGGCGATGTGCACTAGTACTCGAAGAGTGGTCATTTTCAGGGTAGGGGAGACGGTATGGAGGAAGTCTAGCCCCTATCGCTTGCTGAAGCTTCTCGCGGCATAGCGCACATTAAAGACAGGTGACACTCTAGGTGGCTGCTTCATCTTGCATATATATATATATATATATATATTTTTTTTTTTTTTTAGTCAACGACAATGTTCACCCCATGATGGGGAACTACATCAATGTAGGTGCATATGGACCTCCAAGATGCCAATTGGGCGTCTATGGCCGCTATCTACTGAAAGGCCCAGTGTCCCAAAATTGCCTTAGCGTAGGTGCGCAAAGTCAGGATGTCATGAGCGTCTAGGTCGGCCACATGGGCTAGCAACATGGCACAGAAGTGAAGAGCAGTGGATCCAAGGAAAGCTAGCCCAAACTATTTGTCCTCTGGAGCGACAATGCCGAGGGGCGGAGCACCCCCGACGGACGGAGGATGGACATGAGCACAGACTAACTGAGTGGCGAACTCAAGAAGGCGGGTCGAGACAAATTTGGTGACAACAGTAAAAAAACGGAGACATACAACAGAGGAACAATAGGGTGAGTAAAAAGAGAGGAAAGGACATGGGAGACCCTAGGACGAGTGGCATAGAGCGGAAGAATGGAGGAGGGGAGTCAGTAAGGGACGATTGAGGAGGTAACGACCGAACAAAAGGCCGAACTCGAGGGGGAAGTTATTAAATGCTCATAGAGTGAAAATCAGGAACAAGAGACGAGGGATGAGCACAAGGGGCACGGCGAGGCCAGAGGGAGGGACAAGATACGGGTCACGAAATACGGGAGGATACATCTCTGAACTAGGAGAAAAACGAGTTGCAGCCAGTTGCGGGAGAGGAATAGGGGAGGAGGGGAGGAGGCTGTCAGTCAAGGGGTAAGGAAGACCGAGAAGGCAAAGCGCAGGCCAGGCAGCGATGACCACTACTGCTTTAGTGGCGACGGTGGCATGTGCTATTGCTGCTCAGCAGACCCACGGCAACCTTAGGGCCCGACCCATCTCTAGAAACACTGTTAGAACCAGCATTCCCAGTGTTAACACTTCCATAATCAGAAACTCTTGCAAAAGGACCCCATGGATCAGCACCCCCAAACCATCACCCCTAGCATTCACAGCGACCAGCTATGGCGACTGCAAATGCAGCTGTAGTGACTACGAGGACAACATGGGCGACTGCGAGGACAACATGGCCGATTTCAAAGACAACGTGGGTGACGGCAATGAATGTGGTGAAGGTGGCGGCACAGGAGGCGCACCCCCATGCACCGGGACCCGAGGGAAGGCAACAACCTCCCCCACGAACCCAACCAAGGGATGGGAGTGACATGCGACACACCAGACGGAGCAGGAGACGGGGCAGGGAAACAAGCGGAGGTGCATGACCAAGGGAGAAGGGAGTGAGAAACAGTGGAGTGGGGGGAACTGGGGTTTCCTCGATGAAGGAAGTGAGTGTAGAAACTGTCTAGAAATTATTACGTTTCATCCAGACGAGTTACTTGGTGACTCATCAAAAGTGAGGCAACGAAAGTGAAAGAATCGGTGAGATGTTGCGTGGTAAAACAACCAGTCGGAAGGCATCAAGAGGGAAACCAAGGAAGACTCAAGGAAGAGTGCGGGCTGAGAGCTTGTTTGCACGAGTGTTGCGGACATGTGAAATGCAGCCCCAGACATGAACACATGCGCAGCAATAGGGGACCTAGTCTAGAGGAGGGTTGGTGAAACCTGCGGCTGTGAGGCACGAGGCCACGGGCTAAGCTAGTGCGTGGTGTGGCGGTTTGCAAATGGCCACAGAAAATGGGGGCACCTGCATGGACTACAGAGGTACGGGCGATCTCCATGACCAAGCCAATGCGACGCTCAGTTGCCGCATATACTGGGGAGAGTCCGGGAGCATATACGCATGAACTGCACACGACAGATTTGCACAATCCGACCAGAGGTGAACTCGCCACCGCGGTCGGAGTGCAGACGAAGCACACACCAAGCGCGGAGGGCACGGACGACCACTAGCCATAGGAGGATAGCGTCAGGCCCTTCGACATTCCGCACCAGGGGAACACTACGATGTACCAGGATAAAATCGTCCACAACTACCACTAAGTAGCGCTCCCCACGCAGCCCAAAGATGGGGATGCGTACCCAAACGTCCATGTGCAGGGTCTAAAGAAGCATGGTGGTGTAAGACAGCGGGGAGGAGTGCGGGGCTCCGCTTTGCGAGCCCTCAATGAAGCAGTGCATGGTGCGCAGACGAAGGATCGAGGGAGAAAACGGCAATAGGCGACTTGGGAAAAGACCATGCTAAGCCATGTAATGGAGACATAGAAGTGTGGGCTGAATTAGACAGTGGTGCCACAGGAGGGACGGGTGGGTGAGCGTCTGACAAGAGCATGATGGGGCTATCTGACCAGATGCAACAACATGAGGGGACGACGTGTGCAGCATGAAATGAGGTACCATTGTGGTAGCATCTGTACAGGTTGCAAACCGATGGTGTCCAGAAAAGTGGTGGTGACACCGAGGTCCAGAATACAACCGACAACCACCAAGTTCCTAGAGAACAAGGGGATGCGCATGCAGTAGAGGGAGCTAGAGGAGCTGGCGAACACAAAAGGGTAGTAGCGCCGTGAGCGAGGACCGGTCCACAGGAGGGGTTGGCCAAAGGGACTGTGACTGGGGCTGGAAGCATTAAGATGGTGATGTGGTCGCAAAAGAAGCACTGAGATGCTCGAGAGTCAAGTGTGAAGGAGAGTGACACGTCGGTGAGTGACACGTCGGTGGTGGACACACCCGGGCAAGCAACAATAGAAGATCCTACACCAGAGGTAGCCACGAAACCTAGTCTAGCCACCTAGTCTAGTCCAGTGACACTATAGTCAACAACATACAGCATAGCATAAACCTTGGACATGCCCATATTGATATCCTGCTAACCACAGCACATCATACTAGACCAGTCTGAGGAATGGCCTGAGGCCCAAAACGTCTTCGATCGGGGATGTCCTGCTGAAACTGGCTCTATAGGTCGAGCTGGACATCGAGCAGCCACGACGGAAAGTCCATCGTGCAACCCTCTGCGTCGCAACGCAGCACCAACTCAATCGCCATAATAGTAGGAAGGAGGTGCTCAGCCATAGTAGGTGGCCAGGTAGAACGCCACAGGCTGAGGAGAACAGCCGCTCTAAAGAGCAAGGAACGGGGCTGGCGGCAGGCTGACATTGCGCGGCTAACTGCTAGCGTTGGCAGTTGATGGGTGCGCTGGCCGTCGCAATAGCAGAGGCAGCGCATGCGGTGGTGCGCGTGCTAGTAGCGGCAAGGGCAACAGCAGTAGCAGAGCGTGTGGCAGCAGCTGTAGTGGCGGGGATCCTGCAACGGGTGCACAGCGGCAAAGTGAGAGTAGCAGCAGCGGGCGTGCTGCAGCAGCAGGAGTGCGAGCAGCGGTGGCGGTTCACGCGGCAGCAGCGGGCGCGCTGCAGTGCCAGTGGCGCGGCGGGCGCGGCTAGTGTGGTGACGACAGGCCAGTCGCGCAGGTGCTAGTGCGACTGCAGGCGCGCGTGGCAACAGGGCCTAGGGCGGGGCGCGGAGGGGCTGCTAAGTGGGCGCGAGCGGTTGCACTTAGGGGGCGCGCTGGGGCTAGGAGGGTGCGTTAGGGTGCACGGTAGCCATGCTGGGCGCGCTTGGGGCGGTCTAGCGACAACCGGGAGGGCGTGCTTGGGCGGCTAGGGTAGGCGAAGCAAAGGCAACCTAACGTACGAGTGATACCATGTTGGGAATCGAAAGAATTACTATGGAAGGATACAATTGGCCTACCTGTACTTAACAAAAATTCACTCCCTAAAGTCAAACCTAACCTAGCCTAACAAATATAACTACAAATGTGTATGTTGACACCTTTACTTTGTGATCCCCCCTCGCCGTTCCCAGCTGAATCCTAAGAGCCACCCCCACTCTCTCCCCCGTCAGCCGACCCCCCGATCAAAACATGTACAATGAAACTGCTAAAGTCGGTGTTTAACCGGTTTACAGAGGATAGAGTTTATTTGTCTTCCTCCATGCCCTTAATAGCTTGCAACATTGCAGCCAGGTTATTGGGGTATGATGTCCCACTTCGCATCCCCTCTGCTTGCTCATCCACCTTAACTGCTGCACTGAGCTCCTCCTTCCCCACCACCTCGTGCCTGATTCCCTGCAGCTCGTTGGCAATGTCTGCCATGTTGGGCCGGCTTGCAGTGCGTTGCACAGTGCAGCGCAGAGCCAGCTGGGCCAGGCGCAGCACAGCATCATCCGGGGCGTCCATGCTCGGGTCTTTGAGAGGGTCAGTTCTTTTGGAGGAAATGCAATCGTCGGCCTGATGGATTTAATTGAACATAAGAGAGAGCACACGTGCATAATCAGCAGCAAAAGATGTTATTGAATGACGGGAGGGTAAATGAGGCATGGCTACACCTAACTGATTAATCAAGGAGACATCATGCCATCATGGTGGGACGGGACAGTTCTGAGAAGTCTTGCCACCACGCCATCATGCCATCATGCCATTATGCCATTATGCTACATCATGACATCATGCAAAAGAGGTTGCTGGACGACACGAGGTATATGAGGCATGCCTACACCTGATTGTTTGAATAAAGTGGGTGGGGATGGGAACATTCCTGAGCAGCTGTGCCTGCTGAGGAGGGTTATTCTTAATAGTTAGGCACAGCAGCACAACTGTACCATCGCCCTGTCCTGTCGCCCTGCCATCATGCCGAATGTGCCCACGTGCCATCGTGCCAGCCTAACATCTCGCCATCATGCCGTTGGACCATCTTGCTATCATGCCATCGTGACATCTCGCGTACTTGCCTGGAAGCAGCAAATCCTGTGCATCTCGTGTTATATACTCTTTTTGAGTGCTTCATATGTCTACGCTGTTGTCGCATGCGCGTTACAACGCAGAAACAACTACCCATCGCAGGTGATTCTTCCACTTTGGCTATGTGAGTTAGTAACGCAGCCGGCTTGAAAGTTACTTTGTGTGTCATGGAACACAAAGAAGCACACAAAGAAGTAGCATTCGGATGGAGATCTACCTGAAAGCACCTCTTTTGCGGACACAAGCAGCAGCACGTACCTCATGTGTCGAAGAATGCAACCATCAGCAGGAAAAGGTGACTTTGTTGCTGCATACCTGACCTGACGTGATCTGTACCTCGTGTGCTGTACCTCAAAAAGCAGCAGCACCTACCCATCGCAGAATGTGCCCATTCCTTTCACCATCACCAGTGTGGGGGCTACGGCCAGTAAGACACCAAGCATGAGAACACCGAAGCTGCACACACAGAGGAGGAGGAAGGGATGGCACAGAGGAAGGGAAGGATGACAGCTAGACATGGACAAAGAGTCGAGCTTTTAAGCTCGACTCGATCGGGCGACTCGTTACTGGTCGAGTGTCGAGTGCGAGGACCCGTTGAAAAAATCGACCGGGCCGAGTCGAGTTTTACCCCGCCGAGTTTTTTAGAAACCTCGGTCCAAGCTCGGGCCCCATGTCGAGTTTTTTCCAGACTCGTCGAGTTTTCTGGACTCGGCGAGTTTACGAAAAACTCGTCGCGACATTGGGGTGGGTGGGCATACAAATTTTGAAAGTTGAAGTTTTGCGGGTCCAGTTTCAGATCTCGATTTCAGTCAGTCACCTTCCTCAACATGTCGTCCGTAGTTTCCAGAGCCAAAGCAGCCAAACGCCCAGCTGTTTTTTTCTTCTTAAACTTAAGATCGCTTCAGGGGCAACGTAGATCTAGGTTTGCGCTTAGTTAGAGTCGCGGTTTTATTGTATGGTTGGTTGCGATTAGGGTTTGAGGAGTAGGAACGCTACTATTTAATCATGTAAGTCGATCTACTGATTTAGCATGGCGATATTCAAGCAGCTGACAAGAAAGAACACCAACGGCGGGAAAGGGGGGCGGAGGAACCCACCGTGGCGATCATGCGGGAGGGGGGGGGAGGGGGGGGGGGGGGGGGGGGGGGGGGGAGACCAGGTGGAGATGGCTACGCAGCGTTGCAGGCGTACAATATTATAGGGTATACAACAAAAAACCATGCACGAAATAAGCCTCAGGTCTCACTTTTCTATGGTGTGTCCCGCCCCCCTCCCCCCCGCTGAGCCAAGTTTAACTAGGACTCGACCGAGTGTATGAATAGCGCCGGTCGAGTTTTAGAAAACTCGCCCTTATACAGTCGAGTTTCGAGTCCTGAACCTTGGCAAAAAAACTTGACTGGGTTTCACCCGACTCGAGCTCGAACCTGGTCGAGTTTTGGCCCAGACCGAGTGGAGTTTTACTCGACTCGATCCGTTGCTCATGTCTAATGACAGCATCAGGGGTGGTGCTCTGCACTTCCCATCAGATTTGAGAATTATCGAAAGCACTCAGATAAGGCGGCTACAGCTGATGACAGCCACGAGCATGAGCACATCAAAGCAGCAGAGACGTGGGTGTTTCGGGAGAGATATTTGGAGCATCACACAAGAACAGTGGTGGGAGAGAGCTTTAAGATGCAAAAGCACCTTCAGGCACTTATGAGGCGCTTAAATACTGCCAGATCATCAGTTCAGCCCAAAGGAGGCATTCATAATCCTAAAAAAAAAAATCAATCACTACAGTTTTCCAGTGGTTGCAGGCATCGGTGGCTTGTAGTGTTTGCGTTGTGAGGCGCCTGAAAAGCAGCTCACCTGTAGACATCAGTTGCAGTGGTGGCCTTGGACGTGCGTGAGTAGATGGGATCCACATAGCCCGGTGTCCCCATCACCCGAGTTGTGCGGACAGCGGTTCCCTCTCCCGCCTTTAACAGTCCAAAGTCAGCGATCTTGGCCTGTCGGAAGGTATAATTATCGAAAGAGGGACACAAGCATGACTGAGGAAAAAATTATCAAGGACTTAACAATGGTGATGACTTATTTTGTAGAGCTGATCACCACTGAAAACAAATACAGAGCTGTACGTGCAATTCTTAGTTCCTTCATCTTTCTCTCATTTATATAGGGTTTTTTTCTTCTCTTTCAGTATCCCGAGCTTCATCCAGATGAAGTATTATACGAACATAGCACCTATGGTGGACTAGCGAAATGCTGCCACACTTTTATCAAGTCAATGTTCACCCGTAGTGTAGTTGGAACGCATGCATCAATCTGCGTATTTAGAACATGTGTAAATAGTAATACCGTATTTATTTCTTAATTTGAATTCATCATTTAAATAATTTGTGTTTGTTTCTGTTTCATTGACATCTTCCACATGACACTTCACTATGTTCGCCTCAACGCTCTTGCTTGCCTGCATTTTATCCCCAGCAGGATGTTGGCGGGTTGATGTCGCGATGCACAAGGCCAAAGCTGTGGAGGTACTCAAAGCCACGTGCCGCACCAATGAGGATGTCCAGCCGCTGCTGGAAGGTGAGAGTGAAGGACGCCTCTGCACACAATAAAGAGAGTGACAGGACATGAGGGAGGCAAATGAGGATGTCCAGCCGCTCCTGGAAAGAGAGAGTGAAGGACGCCTCTGCACACATGCAGAGAACGAGAGAATCGCGGAAGAACATGAGAGAACAAGAGAGTGAGAGACATGAGTGACTAACGCTGGGAGACGCGGGAGGTGATCAATACGTGACATAGTATGCGCATAACCTTCTTGTTATGCTAGTACTAGAAAAGGTCACCATCGGTGTGTTCAAATAGAGTGTAATCATGAGATTTAGAATGGTTGCAGATGAATACGTGGTGCGTACCCTTCTTGATATAGTGGTCAAGGTCACCGTTGGAAACAAACTCGTAGATCAAGATCTGCTCTGGACGTGTCCTCATGTCCCCTCCAATAGCAAACCCAAGCAGCCGCACGATGTTGGGATGGTTCTTGTCGGCCATTTGCTGGACCTGCGAGAATAAAAAGGCAGTAATTAAATGGAGAAGGGAAATTTGGACAGCAGTCAGCATGGGATGAATCAAACGAGAAACATGGCATGGCACGCTGGTTGGAACCGTCATGCCAAGGCGGAATGACATAGAAGCCGCCTTGAAAGGAGTGCCATGGTAGAATAGAATGCAACGAGAAGCACAGCCAAAGAGGAGAAGTTTCTAAATCAATAGCAGTTCGCCCCAAACTCAAAGTGGAAATAAAAGGCCCATTTACGGCAATCATATAGCTCCTCTTGACGGCCCACAGGGTGGTATCATCGTGCAGAGACACGCCCTTGTACACCACACCAAAGGCTCCGGACGTATTATTGGGGAACCTCAAGAATAGGAACAAGAAGACTCATTCGGACCCACCTCTTTGTGAAATTCCACGTCAATCAGTTTGGCTCGCTTGACAGCCCACAGGGTGACGCCATCATCTGGAACACACGCCCTTGTACACGTCACCAAGGCACCCGAGCCAAGCTGGTTGTCAGAGGACCATTGTTGGTGGCTTTGAGGACTTCGTCAAGAGAGTACTCGGTGCATTGAGCTCCCGACATGCTGCGAGCTCGGCCTGTAAAGGTGCGGATGGAAGGGGTGAGGAGTGGTGGTGAGGGGCGCAAGGCAACCCAGCCAAGCTGGTTGCCCGAGGACCAGTTGTTGTGTGCTGTGAGCACTTCTTCAAAGAGAGTACTCGGTGCATTGAGCTCCCGACATGCTGCAAGCTCGTCCTGTGACAGTGTGGGTGAAGAAAAAGGGGTGACGGGAGCCCGATTTTTGAGGTGTTTTGAAAAAATCAGCCCGAACCACCCTTGCCCATTGCCTGGTTGAGAACAGGCAAGTCCAAGCGAGAAAGCGAGAGAGAGAAAAAGAGAGAGGGAGAGAGAGAGAAGAGAAAATAGAGAGAGAGAGAGAGAAGGGCCTAAGGAGGAGGAACAATGGATGAAGAAGAGAAGACATGTTTCCAGACTCCCAGGTCCCTCCCCTGACTTCTAAGGCTTCAAATCCAGGGTTTCGGGTTTAGGGTGTATGGACGGGACGCCCTACTTGCTGCACGTGCTGCTCGCTTCTTGTGACCTCTCCACCACCACAGCAGCGTGCCAATGATCAGCAGCATCACAGCAGCCACAGCAATGCCGGCAATGGCTCCCACAGAGAGACCGCCTCCCGACTGCGAGGGAGGCGCTTCGGGTGAGAGGGGGGGACTGAAAGAGGAGGAGGATGGGCCCGTTGTGTTGGCACTGTAGGTGGGGAGATAGACGCTGGAGAAGGGGTGGTCGACGTGGGGATGGGGTGCTGGAGGTGGGGAGGGGGGTGCTGGACGTGGGAAGGGAGGGGCGGGGTTGGGGGAATATGTGTAGGTAAGGAGGAAAAGCATTCTGTCATAATCTGCAAGGTTCAAAATACGGTCCGTTTTTTACGGTGGAATTCGGGCGTTTTTTGTTAGAGAACTCTGGTCACCAGAAAAAAAACGGAAAAACAAGGTCAAACACAATGTCAATCATGCCAACAAGCGCACACATGCAAGAAGGGGCCCGTCCCCTTCATCCTGCTGAAATTCCATAAAGTGGCCAATTCGTTAATCGAACTGAAAACACCTCCTGGAACTGTTTTAAACGGTCAATTTTTACAGTACCGTTTTTACGGTAATTAATTAAAAAAATGTCGTTTTTTTTTTTACCCTGATCTGTAATGATTTATCATATATAGACGCACTACAACGACAAATGTACATGCGTATGTGTATATTTACAAATGTATGGTGAGGTTGCGCGTAAATTGGCAAGCACGCCAAGATGATGTATGGTGGCGGTGGTGGAAGGGTTGTGGGTGGGTGCGTGTGTGCATACTTGTGGGTGTGCGTGCCTCTGTGTGTGTGTGTGTGCCTCTGCGTGTGTGCTGTGCATGTGCGTGCGTGTTTTCCCGTTTTGTTATTGCTCACGTGGTGCTGGCTTGATGCAAGTAGTGCAGAAGGAAGGGCACTGGATGCAAAAGCGGTTTGAGAAGACTGCTGAACCACACATGGGGTCTTGTTAGGCGGGCACGTGACACGAGTTTCAGTCAGATTCCTGGAAGTGTGGAAAGGAGGTTCAAAAGCGGACCATTTCAGAACACGGAAAAAGGTTTGGGGGAACGAGGGGGTTCTTCAGAATAAACATCGGCAAGAAATCATGTGTGGTGCTCCTTAGAATAGAAGCTCCAGCAGATGTGCTTCACATGATTGGTTTACGGCAACTGAGGGAAAGCAGAACTGAGTGTGTCGGTGATTCCGGAGTGCCTTACAGTTCTTTGATTTTGGCAAGCCTGCCCAGTGTCGGAGGGAACGTGAGGTCCCAGGGATCCTCACTCATGGGGAAGAGCAGCACTAGTGTGTTACAATTCTAACAACTGAGTGCCTTACAATTCTTACAACTGAGTGTCTTACAATTCTTTGAGTTTGGCAAGCCTGCCCAGTGTCGCAGGGAGGGGTCCGCTCAGACTGGATTTTCGCACATTCCTGGATAGGGAGCAATGTTTGTTGAGCATAGTAGCATACGTAGGCTTGTCTCAACCATTGTCGGGCATTCTTGCGTCAAACGGGATTAAACCTTCAAACCAGGTCAATCCGTAGCTCAAGTTGTCATTTGAGATCGAGGTTCAAAGTTCAAAATCGAGTTGCCGCATGGCACACGCCATGGCCGCATAATGCATGTCACAGCCTCATACCTCATGGCACAGCCTCAAAACCTAAGTAATAGCCCAAGAGATCATGCCATAGCCTCAATCAAACTTATGACATGGTCACAAAACAGGTACAGTTCTTCATGCGGTGGTTCAGTTCATATGGCACTCATAGGCAAAGAGCGCAAGCAAGGCGCATTTGCTGTGTTTACAGCTCTGGTTGCTTACAAGGTCGTGAGCTGCAAGAGGTTGCCTTCTGAGGCGCCTCAAAAGTCATCAAAGCAGAGTTTATGAAAAGCCACCGGGAAAGCTGGCCTTTGAGGCGCCTCAGAAGCTGTCCTTACAGCTCTGATTGCTTACAAGATTGTGAGCTGCAAGAGGTTGCCAATGGATTCTGGGATGCTGCCAGTGAGGTTGTTGGGACCAAGGTACCTGGTGAGGTGAGGGGGACAGCAGCAGGAAAAGTCTTACAAGAAAGGCGCTGTGAATAATCCACCGCAGGGAGGTGTGGTGGGTGGGTGGGACGGAGGGTGGCGGCAGGGGAAGCACGGGGCAGGCTGTCAAGAGCAAGGTACCTGGTGATCTGAGGGTACAGCAACAGGGAATTTCTGGAAATTGAATGAGACAAGTTTTTACGGAAAGTTGCTGTGACGAATCTATCACTGGAACATTGTTCTAGCAGGATCATTACAGACACAGGCTAGAAAAGAATCACTTCATCACATATACGCATACACACATGCACGCACAGAGTAAAGAAATAGTCTGTGTGACCATTTCAATGTCTTGAAATGGATTTTTACGCGATTGACTACCGGGAAGAGCAAGCAATTGCTATGAAATGATTGATCGCACATTATCATAATTACACAATAGAAAGCAGTCATGTATGCAGATGTCATCATGAGGCTCACAAAAAAAAGACACTCGCCGTTCGTCCAATTAGAAGACTTACAAGCCATTCAGGAATAGAAGGTTGCCTATTTTTGCAGGTATGGAGCCCGTCAGTTCGTTTCTCCATAGCAATCTGTAACGGGGATGTAAAAAAACGGAAGAATGACCAGAACAAAGGTGCTTCCTTAGCAGCAGTCCGACTGAGATGCCTCAAGACGGCGTTGCATGCAAGAGCCTGAAACTCGTGGAAGAACATGATGTTCCCAGTCCCAGGTGTTTGGGAACTTTTGAGATGTCTCAAAGAAAGAAGTTAGAACATGTTCCCAGTCCCAGTGTTTGGGAACTTTTGAGACATTTCAAAGAAAGAACATGTTCCAAGTCCCAGGGGTTTGGGAACTTTTGAGACGTCTCAAAGAAAGAACATGTTCCCAGAATCCCAGTCCCACTAGATAATTTTTAGATGCCAGTCCCATCCAATCCCAGCTGTGCGTTGCATATAAATCCCATTCTTTCTGTGCCTCTTCTTCTACTTGGTTTGCATGGGCAGACATTAGTAGTAGGGGCAATAGTTTTAGGATGGCTGGGTAAGAGGAGTGGATAGAGGGTGTTCACAATAGCAGTGCAGAGGACCTCCCAAGTGCTTTCTTTGGAGAGGAGGCATTCAAGACCGAGCGCTGCTAAAGCACATTTGCAAATCCTGGAAGCATGGACATTGAGCCGGCAACATCAACTTTTGAGGAATCTCAACAATCAACTCCAGGAGCGAACAATAATGTAACATCATTAATGTTCCTCCTGCCTCTCAAGTGAAACTACAGGGTAATGCACTCACAAGTTGTTTATGTTTGGTTTGAGACGCCTCAAAATACACCTCAATAATGCTCCTCCTGCCTCTCAAGTGAGACCAAGGGGTAACGAACTCACAAGTTGTGTTGAGGTTTGTGAGCTTGAAGAGAGATTCAGGAATGGTGCCGGTTAAGTTGTTTGTAGCCAAGCTGTCTGCCTCACATTCAGTGGATGGTGGTAGGAAAAGGACGGAAGGCGCGCGTGTGGTGAGACGAATGATTGTTGTGTATACACTATTAGAATGGACATTATGGTAAGGGTCGACGGATACATAGAATATATATATATATATATCAAAAGTGACACAGCACAAGCATTGGATTAGACAAGATGGGAAGGGGGCAACATTTCCTAAATCCAACACCGGTATTAAGACCGTGCTTACATTTCAACTCTTTCCTGCATGTCACTCACCTGTGCACGCCTAGATTTAACTTCATCACTACCTTATTCAACTACTTTGTTTGGCAAATGTTTTCAGTGGAGTTTAGGGAATCTACTGGTGATTAACTAACCAATCGGTCGTACGGATCCACACTAACGTGGCAGCATGCATGCATCACGTCTTCTGCTTGGGCACAATTGCAGGAATAACAGACACAATCGTAGCTGATTTGTTTCAATGTTGCAGGTGGGTGGGTGTGTGGGGGGGTCTATGCATTTTATGCAGGAGTCATTAATGCAGGAGTCATTTATGCAGGATTCATTAATGCAGGAGTTATTTATGCAGGGATCATCTATGCAGGAGCCATGTATGCAAGAGCCATCTAGCCCGTCTCATTGAGAAGCTCACAGGGTTGTCAGCGCTGCAAGGCTGCCTATTTTTGAAGAGATTGAGCCAGTTAATCTGTTTCCAAGGAGACTGCTGCAGTTTGTGGAAACAAAAGGTGCAACAAGGAGAGTAAAAGACAGGTTTCAGTTGCAAGCATCAGTATGAAATACAGGATGAAGAGGAAGTCAAAACTGCATTTAAAACAAAACATGGTCATCTCAAGGCGAGCAGAGGTGCATGCTGAGATGAACCCCATACTTTCAACAATGCCTTCTGGGGCATCCAGAAATTGCTGAAATGCAAGTGCCTGGTTCGGCTACGGCTCACCTGGCTGGGAAGCAAAGAAGGACTGCGCTGCACTGCACTTACAGCGTGCTGAGTTTCGTGAGATTGAAGAGCGACTCAGGAATTGAGCCGGACAAAAATGTTGAAGAAAGGAGTCTGCAAATGAAAGAAATGGAGGGCACACAAGTGTCGAGTGGAGAGACACCATACTCCACTGCACAGCACGTGTATGTACGTGGTGGAGTGTGATGTGCTCCGAGTATGTCCCAATGAGTAGTTCCTCACCTCTAGTCCAAGATATTGAGAGTTCAACTCCCATCATCTGCACTTTCCCCCTTCACATTATGCTCACCATGACATGTCCATACTCCACCACACTTATCGACAACAGAGTGTGGTCAGTGTGGTCACAGTTGGCATTGCCCCCTGTCCACTCATCCCATGCTCACCTTGGTGGCCCCTATGGTATGCCATATGCTGTCATGGAGGCTGCTGTTCCAGCCTAGCCCACATGTGCAACTAGGGATGAGCAAGGTGG